CACGTGGGATCCCAGCTCCAGATGAAAGGGGCCGCCCTGTCTGAGCAGCGCTTTCCTCAGGGTAGAGATGACGGGGCCCTCTGCACTGTGAGAATGACGGGGGTCGGGGAGACCTGAGAGAAAGTGGCAGAAATGTCCACCCATTGGGGCCAGTGTGCACTCCAGGCTCTCCTAAGAGAGTGTTCATTTCTCCTTTTTTGTCTTCCTCCTCTGCAGCCAGCTTCCCTTCCAACCAAATACTGACCCACCTGTTTGGGGGACATTTTTAAGCCACGGCAACTGCTCATCCCACTCACCCTGCGACCTTCCTGCAGCCTGGGAGACCTCCACCTTTCTTCCTCTCTAACCACCTGCCCCAGTCAATCTTGACAAAGGAGGCAGAGAAATACTGGAGTCTAAAATGAGTGTGATGTGTGTCAGCTGGAGGACCTGCGTGGGCGTTCTTCACACAGATCGGCTTTGAACTTAGAGCACGTGCCACTCTGAGCAGCCCAATGACCTGAAATATAATGGCCTCTCACAGCCCCCAGACACCACCTCGCCAGCTGCTGTGGTCGGGATCTCTGTCCCTCTGCTGTGAGGTGATCCAGCCCCTCATCCTGCCTGGTCCCAAGCTGTGATGCTGTACCCCTCCCAACCTTGCTGACAGGCGGTTCCTTCCCAGAAATCTTACGCACATTTACATGCACTTCAATCTCTTGTGTGTTAATGAGGATAAAGTGATGAGCAAGCGGACAGGATCCCTGTCCTCAGGAAACTAACCGTCTAGAGGGATGAGACAGACATTAATCAAATAATCACCCAAAGTGGCATCACTTATGATAAGTACTGGGAGGAAAATGCCCAGAGTGATCTGAGATATTCCAAATCTCTAGAAGAAACCAGAGAATGAGGCTCCTGAAAAATTCTAGTTCTCTCTTTTCCAGCTGAATGCGATTGCTCAACAGCTGTGCTGGTTGGTGAATGATGGTTTCTTCACAGCTGCCTTCCAAAATGTGAGATAATGAGGCTCTCCTGCAGATGACATTCAGGTTTATGCCATCTAAAAGCAGCCTTTAGGGTTGGGATGGTAATGGGGATTCCCGTGCCCCAAGCCCACCTCAAGGTCCCACACCTGTGGGCTCCAGGCTAATGGAAAACGCAGCAACCACATGACGAGAAGATCCGACAACCTTGCCAACGCGGGAAGCTTAGGTCCCTTGATTTTTTGTCCCCTTTTTGGCCCTCCTCCACCCTGCATTTCTGTGGCTTGTTTTTGAAAAGGCCTAAGGGGCTTTGACCCTGATTCTAAAAACTTGAATCACATTCTATCTCCCCCGGCCCTTTACCAAGCTGGCTTGGGGCTTCTTCCCAGGCCTTCCTCTCTAAGTAGAGAGGGTGCTCAGAAATCCCTCCAGCGAGTTGAGATCCAGTTTACAGCTTGTGCACCCTCACCTGTGACTGTACAACTAGAACTAGTCCAACCTAATCTAAGGTTAATTTGGAACGGAAATGCAGTGTTCCCCAGGGTGGATCTAAGTGGGCATCTGCCTCGACTTCCCTCAGTGGAATCTGTTGTGCAGCCTACCTGCGCCCGGGTCGGCTCACCGCTCAGGATGCACTAAGCTCATCCACCTGGACGCTGTCCTGAGTTCTTGCCGAACACCCTCTCTCCAGCAAGAGCCCTTGAGAAGTACCGCATTGGACCAGGAAGTTTGACTTCCAGGAGTCTGACACAGGGCCCGCTTTGGTTTGCCCTTCTCTGGCTGGTTGTGCTTCCCCGCAAGGACTGCTGATGCTTTCAAACGTCACAGGAAAGAGACCTGCCTTCCGACAGCTTCTCGCTTGCTGGTGGTTCTCTCTGCCACATGGTGTCGCTGTTGAACACTGACCCTACAGAGTCCCCTAGATTTCTGCTCATCCAGCCATGACAATTCCCTTGCGTGGCCATGTGCGGGCTGCAGGCTTCTTCAAAGGAAGATGGCGTTTTGACTTCCATGGCATTAAACTCAATACATGGCTCTCCCTCCAGCACACATGCAAACAGTCACTTATTTCCAAAGCACATCCAGTATGCCTGTGTCCCTGGGTTAGAGGGTTGCCTCCACCTCTACCACATTTTGTGCTAGAATCTCACCCTTTCCTCCAACTTACCCTTCCTTGTACAGTGAGCCTGGATCACCAGTCTTTTCTCAAGGTGTTATTTTGTGCCTTAATCTGGTCCACTCTTATGTATCCCAAAAGACTTTAGAACATTGGACACTAGGACCTAGGAGTTGGAGTGTTTCCCAGAAGACCCTACCTACTATGTAAATAGGCCCACCTCCTCATATAATTAGCTCTGCATTCAGGACAAGTCCCAGAAAGTTCTGGAACACTTCATATCCATAAAATATAATGAGTGCTTACTCTGTTTCTGCATAACTAAGAGGTATGCTCAAGTGGGTTTTTCAAGGGAAGAAATTAGATTCTCTCAATTTAAAAAAAAAAAAGTCAGCTATATTTACATTCCTTCTGTATGTTTGGTCTGTTCTGTCTGCTTGGGGCCTGTGGTCTCCCTTTAGCAATCTTTTATTTACTCTGTATGTTCCACTAAAGAGTTCATTGCCTAAGCCAAAATTGTAAGATTTTTTTTTAGCATAGGCAATGGGGCCTTCCATATTTGCAGCTGAAAAGGACAATACTTTCCCATGGGCTGTTCTCCTAGAAACAGATTCATAACAAAAGGCCTCAGCCATTGTATTCATATGTAGTGTTGATAATGTTCAATGTGGTACATGGTATAAATTTGAAAAAAAAAAAAATCCTCATTTCTACTCTGGGGCCAAGATCATAGATTACATCACATTTGACTCCATTTCTCACTCTTTTTTAAGTGTTTGCAGTACCTGATTAGGATGATTAGGAAATGAAATATTGCCTTTTGGCTCTCTGAGCAGCACCATGGCGGTCGGCAAGAACAAGCGCCTTATGAAAGGCTGCAAAAAGGGAGCCAAGAAGAAAGTGGTTGATCCATTTTCTAAGAAAGATTGGTATGATGTGAAAGCACCCGCTATGTTCAATATAAGAAATATTGGAAAGATGCTAGTCACCAGGACCCAAGGAACCAAAATTGCATCCGATGGCCTCAAGGACCGAGTGAAGTTAGTCTTGCTGATTTGCAGAATGATGAAGTTGCATTTAGGAAATTCAAGCTGATTACTGAAGATGTTCAGGGCAAAAAGTGCCTGACTAACTTCCATGGCATGGATCTTACCTGTGACAAAATGTGTTCCATGGTCAAAAAATGGCAGACAATGATTGAAGCTCATGTTGATGTCAAGACTACCGGTGGTTACTTGCTTCGTCTGTTCTGTGTTGGTTTTACTAAAAAACGCAACAATCAGATACGGAAGACCTCTTATGCTCAGCACCAACAGGTCCGCCAAATCCAGAAGATGATGGAACTCATGACCCGAGAGGTGCAGACAAATGACTTGAAAGAAGTGGTCAATAAATTGATTCCAGACAGCACTGGAAAAGACATAGAAAAGGCTTGCCAATCTATTTATCCTCTCCATGACGTCTTCGTTAGAAAAGTAAAAATGCTGAAGAAGCCCAAGTTTGAATTGGGAAAACTCATGGAGCTTCACGGTGAAGGTGGTAGTTCTGGAAAAGCCAGTGGGGGTGAGACAGGTGCTAAAGTTGAATGAGCTGATGGATGTGAACCACCAGTCCAAGAATCTGTTTAAAGTTCAGACTTATAATAGTGGCAAATAAAAAGTTATTTGTGGAAAAAAAAAAAAGGAAATATTATGCCAAGTCATAGAGGCCACGTGTTTATTTGTCACAGACCCTCAGCAGCAATTCCAGGACACACTGAGGGGCAGGATCTCTTCTCTTGCTACCAAGCAAGTGATTATTCCTTCTAGTTAAACTCCTTGTGACTGTTTCATAAGAACTTGAGTCCTAATCCCCACCCCTGGCCCCCCAAAATATTCCCAGTCAAAGGGTACCATGTCTTATCACAGTGTTCATTATAAAAATCTCCTTGCCATAAATAAAACTCAGATCAAATAATTCCTTGCTGGAGGACCAGAGCTTGTCCTGCAGACCCAGGGAGGAGAGGTGCACTGGGGAGAGGGAAAGATGGGGGCAGGTAAATCACAGTTTCACTTTTTATTATGTAGACTCTCAGACCTAACATTTTTATAGTAAGCAACTATTGTCATGCTTCTTTAATTCTCATTTTTTAAAAGTTTTAATAAATGCCATTTCTTTCTTGATTACATCCAAGTACAGCTGTCTTGAGCTAATGTTGTATACAAGAACCAAGGATTTAAGTGAAGTGGTCCAGAGACAATTGACTTACTGTTTATTATCCCAAATAGAACTCTTTTAAGAATAGCTTGAGGCTGTAGCTTGTATTAAATTTTGACTTCCGCTAACAAGAAATGCTTTGAAATGTGCTAAGTAAGATCAGTTCAGATCCCTGTATTGATGCATGAAGGAAGCCCATGCTTTAAAATCAAAGCAAAGGACATCAAAACTGTCTTTTGTCAGATAAGAATTTCCAGCCAGGCAAGGTGGCTCATGCCTGTAATGCCAGCACTTTGGGAGGCCAAGGCAGGCAGATCACAAGGTCAGGAGTTCAAGACCAGCCTGACCAATATGGTGAAACTCCATCTCTACTAAAAACACAAAAATTAGCCAGGTGTGGTGGCACACACCTGTAACCCCAGCTACTCAGGAGGCTGAGGCAGGAGAATCACTGGAATCCAGGAGGCAGATATTGCAGTGAGCCAAGATCACGCCACTGCACTCCAGCCTGGGCAACAAAGGAAGACTCCGTCTCAAAACAAAAAACAAAAAAAGATTTTCCAGTGGGGGTGAATAGGAGCACAGTCTAACATCCATTCATATTTGTGGTTTGAACCCACTTTCAGATGACCCAGGTATAGTATAGATCCCCCACCACAGAGAGTAGGGAGAGCTGAGTTCCATTCTACGCAGATAACATGATTTTGTTGCCATAAATTAGAAATACTTTGATAGACAACTGGCCCTACTTCCAATCAGCTACTTTGAATTCTGCCCCTATAACTAATAGCCCTACACAGCATGTCAACACTTTAATGTACTGGGGTGACATTTTGAAAGCAGGTCTTTCTTTGAAGGATACAGGAAACTACTTTGCTCAAAGTTAATTGAGCGTCTTATAAGGATTTTCTGAAATGTTGTTTGTAGGCTCAAGAGGACATCTGGTTACACCTGTTTTCAGCATGATTCAGGCTAGATGAAAAATCACTGTCAGCGGATATGGTTTACAATGAGATATTGTGTTTGGTTTGGAAGAATCAAATAAAAAATTTAAACATAGATTAAAATTTAACCACACGTCACAGAAATGACTCAAGAATAGATCAAAACTGCTTTCATAGTATAATTTTTTTAATTGTGTGAGGTTTTGCACCAAAAAAACTGACATATTTGTACAATCTTTGTGGGGTTTTTTAAAACAATAAGAATGATCACATGCATTCCACATTTCCACATATAACACACTGCACAAAGGAAGGTTTTTATTCCTACCTCTGAGACACGTGTTCATTTTCCTTTTGAACACTGCTTTTTGAGGTACTGGAGACCTCTTGATGTAAAAGTCCTCCAAAGTGTTCTTCAAACTAAGGCTTTTGATGAGATGAATGGAACTTGGAGATCTGGCAAGGATTATGCTGCAGCAAACCCAAAGAATTATTTTCATATCTGTGCTCTGCATTAAGTTGTAATTCAACATCAGGATTACCTTTGCTTCCTGTTTTTAACTAATGAGTCTGTTATGGGTCTGAGGCAAATAACAGAGGATGAAAGAAGAGAGTTTAAAGTGTTTAATGGCCAGAAGGCATCATGGCAGCTGTCGGAACGACTGAGAGCTAAGCCCCTGAGTTACTTGGTTCCTGAAGATGCTCACTGGGTGTTCTCCAGCAATATCCCTACAGGTATGGTCAATACACGTACAGAGCATCCACACTTTTCTTTAAAGGAGGATTGCCTAAAAATGCCTACTAAAATATTTTTAAGTTAGATGTTTACCTCCATTAATTCCTCCACCTGCCTCTCAGCGTTCATAAATCAACAGCTGAAAGATGTCTCCTAGAGCAGCTGACGGAAGGTGCCAGGATGAGGACCTTGAAAGTTTCGAAGGGGCTTGCTTGGCGTTGCTTTTTGTTGGTTGGCTTGTTTAGGGGGGAATGTTGGCCCTGGCTCCTACCGTGTGCTTTCTCAATTCCATGTTCTTCCCACTTACGATCACATTTCCTAGAGTTCAGGCCGACTCGGGCTGTACTGCATGCTAAAGCACCAGGGAATAACAGCATCATGGAGTAATTGGATGCCTGGAATTCACCCGGGACGATACACTCACTCTATCAAGAAAAGTGGGGGTATGCTTCTGAAATACAGGCCATCCTAGTCATTTGGCACTACAGGATGACATTGTTCAGGCTTCTTAAACCCATCCTTCATTGGGGTTAGCACAAAAATAACATACTATCCTTTAAAGTTTTTTGAAATTTCAAAGTAAATTCAACTTGGAAACAAAATTAAGGCAATAGGACTACACGTTGACAACTTTTCAAATTCTACAATAGAAAGAAGGAAACAAGATGTTTGTTACTTACAGACTACAGTATGATTATGCACAGAGATAATATAAAAGTATTGACTGTAAAATCCTTAGTATTAAATAAAAAGTTAGGGAAGGGGTCAGATACAAGATAAAGATACCAAAATCTCCAAAATAAACACTGTTTCTATTCTAACAAGCAGAAAATATAGGGAGAAAAATGCATTCATAAAAGTATTGGGAAAAAAAATACAAAGAGCACTAAAGAAATATCCAAGACCTATATCAAAAATGCAAATTTTTTACAGAGATTGATAAAAGAGAATAGTTAATAGACAGACACACCTGCCTCCCTCTCACACGGACAAGTGGGGCAGGGTCCCGTCACTTCCAGTCAGTTCTCCTTGAGAGGAGAGTGGCTGGGGATAGATAATTACACTCTCCCCATCTTGTGGTAAACACTGGGCCTGGAGAGGTCTCTTCCACAAGCAAACAAACAAAAATGAGAAGAGAACACAAATCCCCGCCCGCAACCTTGAAAAGTTGGAAGAAAATAATTTTGGAAATTACCTTGAGCAACGTTTCTTAGCTGTGTTTGAGCTTGTAGCTTGGGTGAATTATGACAGTTGATCTTCTAAAGATGTTTCCATTTGGAGAAAAATAACAAAGCCCTGGAATGCCTATGTTCAGAAACCCACCAGTGCCACTGGGCTCCCCGGTTGCGCCATTTTGGCTCTCAGGGGATCCTGCAGACCCCACCTCCCTTGAGGATCTGCCTTTGCCCACTCTTCTTTGCTTTTTACTCTTGTGTCTTGTAACAGGTAACACCTGTCACTCTGAGACGTAAACCATGTGAGGCCATGTGACCAAAGCCCCCATCTGGAGGACTCTTCCCTCCCCCAGAGACACTATTTGCTGCCCCCCCTAGGGTCTTCCTGGGCCACTGTTGATCTGACCTATCAGGAAGAGGGTCCTACAGTCCCCAAAGGCTGCCTGTTCTAATCTCCTTCCCTGCTAGGGACAGGGGAAAGAGAGACAAGGAGACCTGGGAAAGGGAGGGGATCAGAAGACAGGCGGGCCAACCTCTCCTGTCTCCTTTCTTTCAGGCAGGGCTAAGGAGCAGGGCTATCTGCTTCCAGTCTGCTCATCTTGGAAATTACAGGAGTTCTAGAGATGAATAAAAGCCCTTGGTACGTCATTTACTTTTACAACTAACCACTAAAGTCCTTTTAGTTCAAGTTCCCAAAGGGCAGCTTTTCCGACGCAGGTACTTTTGGCAGGGCCTGCTGCAAGAAACAGTCAAAGCACAAGGCTCATGGTGGTCTTCCCGGCCCCAAAAGGCTGAGTCAGAGGCCCTAGGTCCTCAAGGGGGTGGGAGACTATCTATGTTTAGCTCAGAAGGCAGATAGAAAAGTTCAACCCGCCCTTTGGGACCTTCCTCCCCACTCCTACTCTGTGCCCCACCCTTACTCCCTGAATACTTGGAATCAGCTGAAGTGCTCTAATAGAATCACTTAGATATGTTTTTAACCAGGACTACAGTAAGAAATACATCTTATGCGGGTATGCATTGTACCCATTGGTGTACCTAAACAGGAAATGTAAGTTTCACAAAACAATGCTTACCCTACTATGTGCCAGTCATGTTGAAATTTTCCATTCTCCTTTTAATCCACATTGTTCAAGGCCCACTAAATTATTTCACGCCTCACAGCTAAGTGGCAAGCGGAAGTCTAAAAAGCACCCCCTTGGGAGATGGGTGGTGTCCCTGGGGCCCTCAGGCACCCTGTCAGCCTCTTCTTAGGTGTTAGAGAGAAATGGCCAGAACCCAGACATGTCACGTCGGACCTGACTTCCTTCGCTGTTTCTCTATGGTGTGTCTCAGTAAACACCCAGGGCTCTGGCAGATCCAGGGAAGAGGGATCCCACACTAGAAAAGATGCTGCTAGAACCTGGGCCATGAGAAAGGCACGCATTGAATGGTCTCAGCAGACCGTTCACATGGCAGAGCTCTCCAAAGCCTCCCTTGTGCTTCTTCAGAATCACTTGTGCTTCTCCAGCACTCACCCTGATTACCTCCTGTGGTTCTCAGGTTGAGGGGGCAAAATCTCATCGTCCACTGGGGTCGGGGGTGCTTGCGGGAAAGACATCAGGAGAGGAGGGAATTTCCCAGGGAACCTGCTACGAGGCACGTGGCTTATTTTCCTGTTTCCTATCCAGGTCCAAAGTCAATTTGCACAGCAGAAAATCCTTATAAGACGCTCAATTAACTTCGAGCAAAGTAGTCGCTTCGCGTTGCACCACGTCATCCTCCCGGCTGAAGAAACACTTTATACCCCATAAAACAATCGCTCAGGAATCCCGGGCTCCCACACAGACTTGAGTTTCAAATAGAGAGGAGCCTGGCACCCACTCCATGAATGGCTGGTGTGTGGGGGCAGCTTGGGAGCCCATTAAGTTCCAGATTGAAGAGAGTGAGCCTGAGCTCGTCTCACACCCATTCGCCTCGGACACAAGAAATGAATGACGCCCTCTTCCCATCCCACCCTTTACTCTCTGTGGGCAAGAAGCATTGTCTGCAAGGCCCCTGAGGGGGATGAGGCAGGGAACGTAGGTGAGGTGGCCCAAAGCTCTCCTCGAGTCCGCTTTCCTGGCTTGGCCTTGCTCCCCCATCTCCTTGGGGAGCTGTTGTCCCATCCATTGAGCTGAGTGTTTCCAGTAAGAACACGGTCAGCCTCTAGCAGCGTCCCTGCCATTGCCCAGACAGTCTATAAGGCCCCAGGGTGTGGCCCGTTCGGATTTGATCCAGCTACGGTGGGGTTCGCTGATGCTGAGTGAAGCTGGGAGCCCTTCCTCTTGTTTCTCCTGCTGCTGAGTCTCGTCTTCTGCTCCTAGCCACTGGTAGAGGGGTTTTATCAATCCCTATCATCCAATGATTACATTCATCTATGCCTCAGGCTCAAGTCACTGCAGAGTCTCCCAGGTTCTCACAAGACTTCCACTGTCCAGAAATGTGTACAGAATGTTCACTGCACCACGCCGAAGCCTGAGAAAGTCACAAAACACAAGACAAATCCCAAATGCTCAGGGAGTATACAATGTCACAGAGAAGACATGACTAACGCAGGACAAATAAATGCAGTAATCCAGGCAGTGGATAAGTGCCCACAAGTGACCAAGAGGGGGTGAGATGACTGGGGTGGTCTCCACCAGGAGGTGAAATAGGAGCTCAAGGGCAGTGGCAAGAACACGAGAGTCCAAAATGATCAACAGATAACAGCAGGCCAGGACTGGAGGGTTTGCGTAAGAAAGTTCTGGTGGGGCTGTGGGGAGGGTGTGTAGAAATGGAATGGACGGAAGAAGTTAGGTCAACCAAGCCAAAAAGTAAGCCCTTATTCAGAAGGTAGGCAATTAGGGTGCAGAAAGGCCTTCTAAAGTCACCTGTGGGTTGATGCTGGCTTGTCTCCAAAATGACAAAAAATAGTTACCCTTCTAGAAATGCAACCACAGTGAACTGGAAGCAGCAGTTATGATTCAACGTGTAGCTGTGGTTTCTAGGGATCCCATAACATCATCAGTGACACAGCCCCTTCTGGGAGGCATGATCTCACACTATGAGGGACACAGAATGAGTTTCCCCATGCAGGCAGCTTCTCTGGATTTCTTTTCTCCCTCTTCTGGATCACCATTTTTTGTCAAGTGGCAAAGAATGTATCTGAAAGAAGAAACCCTTCCTGCCTTTCTTTCCACTGACGATACTTAGTATTCCTGGATCAGAAAGTAAGCTGAGGTACATCATGGGGGCAGGGAGCAGTCCAGCAGGAAGACCAGTGCTTATCCAGGGCTGGCCATTGGATGAGTTCACACTTAAGATCTCTTCCAAATCCAAGACCCTGAGTCTCATCTACTCCCACCCAAATTTTCCTCCGTTTCCAAGGTACATGGTTGACCAGCCACTACCCCATTTCCCAGTCATGATGTTGGCTGTGGCCGTCTGACCATGTTCTTTCCCATGTGAGCAGAAGAGGTGCACGCTGCTTCCAAGTGGCCATAAGACCTCCCAGATGTTCTCCTCTGTGTTCTTCCCCAGGTCCCATAGGCTATACTGACAATGACAGTGGTGATAGCAACATTGGGAGCCAGTTAATACTGGAATATGGCAAAGCCACTATCAGCCTATCTCCTGAAGGAACACAGGCAACCGAACTTTCTCTCCTGCCCCTACTCAGACAATCTGGAATGTCTGCCTTGGACTATTATGTGAGAAAAAAAGAAACATCTAGAGTGTTTAAACCATTATATTTTGGGTCTGTTTGTTACTGCGGTTTGGTCCACCCTGACACAATCTCAAAGAACTGAGTTTTCTTCTATCAGTCAACTGAGTGACTAGATACCCAGCTACTTAGAATTCTGATTATTGATAACCGAGGAAAAGAGAGAATGAGGTGGAAGTGTAAACGAAGGGTAACACATTGGAAAACTCCCTGCAAGCTCTTTTGGAGGTGTTGGCCTCTGCTATGAGAATCTCCATTTGAATTTGAACACGGATTTTGAAATTCTAAGGCGGTATCTGAGGATACAATTTAATTCACAAAAACCTACTGAGAGTTACCTGAGTACACCAGCTACCGACAGGAACTGGGTACAAATACTAAAGAAGAACCCAGCCCTTGCCCTAATGAATCCAGCACATGGTAGAGAGATCTGTATCAACAGTTTATTGTAGGACACTGCCCTCTCTTCCTGCGTGGCTCAGCTGTGTCTCAGCTCTGGGCATACCTGGTTTGATTGTGACTGAAATCATTAACAGAAGTCTTCTGAGCTCAGAGCAGGGCTTCGGGACACCTTCAGCCCCACACTGGCCCTAACATTGTGCTCACCAGAGAGTCAGGTGCACGCTTCCAGTGACCTCCTAGAAACAATAGTCCTCTTTATTGGACTCCACAAAAGCAATCAAATACAGTAACCAAACCAGTTCTTGCCTGCCAGACTCCTTGGAGAATAACAACATGATGCTAAAGGGGTATTAGAAAGATAAAAACAAAGGGGTTCTAGAAGAGATGACGCTTTCCTCCAGAGGGTAACTGGGTCTTAGAAAGAAAACTTCTGTTGTCAGCCGAACACCAGCCATGACCCACAGAAATGCTACCTGGGCTGGAGAAAGGCACTTCCCTTAGCAGTCAGCTGCTAAGGCGTCCTCGTGAGCCCTGTAGGATGTTATCAGAGCTTACATTTTAAAACACAAGCAAAGTGTGTGTTGGCATGCAGCAAACTGTCAAACCTGATCTATAGCCTCTCTGCATTCCTGTTAAAATATCCTCAAATATAGCCACACCTGGGGAACCCACACTAACTGCTTTATTTATGGGGGTAGATGGAGAAGCATGGCCCTCAAGACACACAAGCTGCCCTCCCCCTTGTCTAGAAGAGGACGTCTTGCCTCAAGGAAGGCATGAAATCGCTCTTGCCTCACCCATCTACCTCTAAAGCTGGGGCACAGGAGCTTCACCAGACCTGAGGCAGTCCCTTCCTGCTCCCCGGGGAAGTAATAAATTATAATCATGCAAATATGTTATGCATCCCATTTCCTAATCTGTGTAACAGACAATGCAAATGAATGTATCCAGAAGATACTATGACTGGATCAAGCGTTTTTTCGATCTCTGTACTCCTCTGAAGTTAGAGAGACATCTAAACCCCAGCAAAGTCATTTCCTGGTCTCAGATATAAACATTCCAGCTCAATGAACCTCTCCTGTAGTTCCCTTAGCTGAAATTTTGGGGCACTGAGGCAGTAAGCCACAGGCCCCCTCTGACCATCTAGAGACACTCACCTGTCACCCTCCACCTGCATTCTTCCCTTGATGAAAGCCTTGTGGGCCCCAACACTGAGCTCTGCTTTGCTATGCAAGCTGCCTCACCCTGCAGGTGTAACTGTGGCAGAGATCTGCCCACTCCCAGAAGGCTGGTGATAGAAGCTAAAGAAACTCCATGCACCTTGGGCTATCAGCAAATATGAGTGCAAGTCTTGGAGAGGAAATCTTCCTTGCACAAAAGCAAGTAAACCTGGCAGGGAGTTGTGGAATCTGTAGCACGAGGAGAGCAAACCGTTACCCTGAGGACTTAGGCAGGTGAAAGATTTCTAAACATATCCTCATGCAGGGAAACAGGCCTGAGAATGTGAAATCTAGATGGGCAGGGCTTTTTCTTTTTGTCTGTCTTGGAGGCTGGTATGTCTGCAGTGCCCAGAATAGGACTTGGCACATACCAGGTGCTCAGTAAATATTTGTGAAATGAATAAGTAAGTGAATAGATAGATTTCTTACAAACTAAAAGACCTATGGAATTATGAAGTTAAAGGGGATGCTTCTTTCTGGAAGCCATATGAAGGCCAGAGGCGACACAAGGAACTCCACCCAGCCTTCGCAAGCTCAGAAGCCTGATTTTCCTTGGCATCCAAAAATGGTAAAAGTCTAAGGCCGAGGTAATCATTAGAAAAGAAAGACTTCTGCCCCACAGGCCATCAGCATGTTCTGCAGAGGGGCCTCCCTGGTGCCTGACCCCTCCTCTCTGATCCTCTGCAGGCCACTCTGGCACTGTGGCTCTTCCTCTCTCTTTCCAAGCTGTCCCTGTCTGCCAAGCCCCTCAGGAAAGATGGACTCCATGGCAGATGAATGTAGATGCCAGTTCTGGAGGCTCTCCTGGGTGGCCCAGATGCACCAGCCTCCTCCACCTTCCCCTCTGCCCTTTCCCCTCCCCAAGGCTCTACTGCACTCGGCTTTCCCAGCCTGTACACACCTCTGAAGTTGGCAAGAAGCCCCACCACAACGAAAGGTGGAGCAAAGTAGCCAAGATTTCCCGTTCAAGGCCACTGGAACCATCCGTTAAGGACAGTTATGAAAGTAGAGTGGGACATTTAAGTAAATAAATAAACAAATAAGGCCAGGCACGGTGGCTCATACCTGTAATCCCAGCACTTTGGGAGGCTAAGGCAGGAGGATCGCTTGAGAACAGGAGCCTGGGCAACAAAACAAAGCCACATTTCTCCAAGAAAAAAAAAAAAAAAAAAAAACTGTCTTCCTACAGACATCAAAGAGATAGCAAGAATAACAAGATAGTGAGGAATGGCAGGGCAGAGTCAGTCAAAGAGAAGAGAACTCAGGACAGTAAACCCAGCACTCAATGCTGCTTTTGCCTTGAGGCCACTGGTGGATCCAAATGAATGAGCTCATCAGCTGCACTGCCCATCTGATGGCTCACAGGCAAAAGCCACAGCCCAGCGCCACCAAAGTTGGGAACCCAAATAGGTCCCCTCACCTCCTTTACCCTAACCCTGAAGGGCTATACTCTCAAAATAAGGGTGAGCCTGAAGTAAACCAACCCTCATGGGCTTCCAGCTTAGCTTCATGTTGTCAAGTTGATCCAGGGAAGCTCAAGCTGTAAACTTGGACTATGGTGTCCCAGGTTGGTACTGCCAGCAGCATCTGTCAGAAGAAGAAAAAACTCTGGAAAAATGATAGCAGCATCCCAGGCCTCAAATTATTCCTACGAAGAGTCACACTCTAAGCCCTTCCCCACTAGAAACTCTGGCAGGTCACTCCCCCAGAAAGACCCATGGAAGTTGCCCCCACAAGGATGCTGTAATGTTATCTGACTCGTGGGGCTGAAACAAACCTGATCCCTCCCCAAACTTCAGGTAGCCCGCGCTGTCTGCTTTTCTGGGATGAACCTGATCCAGCTGCAGGTTCTCTATGAAATCAGTTCTTTCCATGCTGGAAGCCTCTTCCTGCTAAGTGAAACAAGCAAAAAATACAAATTAGAACCACTAAAACCGATCATCTTTTCTTCCCACATTTCTTTGCAGAAAGCTATAAGAATCTCTTAGCAATCATTGAGTCCTGTCCCAGAGAGGGTATCTAGCCCTGGGGAACTGGCTCCAGGCTCTTTGTTAGGAAGGTTTCCCTATGATGGACTTGGGACACATGCCACCTCTTGGCCATTTCTCCTGAGCCTCCCTCCGGTCCTCCCTGGCCCCACCCACATCCGTTCCTATCCCTGTGAATTAGATTCAGCTCAGGATTGACTACTGTCTGAGCTTGCGGGTCACACTAGGCAATCCCTCCATCACCCCTTAGAGCTCTTGGCACAACCACAAGATTTTTTATTTGCTTTATTGCTGTTTTTTTGCTTAGTATAACCCCCATGGAAGCAGAAATCAAGTCTGTTTTGTCCACTGATGTGTTCCCAGTTTCTGGAACAGTTCCTGACACATAGTAGGACTCAGACACATTTTTGAATGAATGAATGAATGAATGAAACTTGGGGCAGGCAGCCCCAGGGCTCCCCCCTACTATGTCTGCAGGGATGGACTGCCCTTTCCTTCAGGGATCCTGGGAGCCCCTCTCCTTATTGTGCTTCATTTTCCTCTTCTCTTATGTCCTCATTTTGTAGGAGACTTTCAGGCACCTGGGCCATCTGGCGATTTCAGAGTACTCTTAAAGTGCTGGCGGACTACATCTTCCTCTCAAAAAAAACTTCCAAAGTGACTTAGTGGCGGGTCCTCATACTACCATCATTGTCACTATCAGATGTGGTCACTGCCCGACTTCCCAAGTGCAAGACCCCAGGCTTGGCACAAAGAGAATTAACAGTCTGGTCTGGGCCTGCACTGACACTGGACCAGCCAGGAACAGTGAACCAGGGAGCCATGGAGTGATGCCGCACATCAGGCATAACTGAGGACATGGGGATGTCAGAATTGCTGGCGCCTTCTTAGGGAGGGAATGCTATTTGCTTGGGTGGGGGTGGGAGAGTTTGATCAGCACTCATGACAGAAGGTGAGGTCTCACGGGCCTAATGTGGCCTACTCCAAGGCTCAGAGGAGAGGGTGAACTAACTGCGTGAGACAAGCAGAAGGATTTTGATTTTTATTTTTTCGGGTGGGGAGGGAGCTGCAGAGGGTTGGCTTGGGGGAAGGGGTGGGAGCAGTCGTTGAGTGAGAGGTAAAAGAGTGAGCAGAAAGAGCGTGTCAGCAAAAGTTTGAGGCCAGATGCCAACCTGGGGCTGAGAGAACATTCCAGTGGCAGAGAAGCAGGAAGAATGTTTTGTTTTTTTTAAACACTCATGTGTGTGTGCCTGTTTGCCATATGCAAGGCTGGTTTTCTCCAGAACATCCCCGGTTCTCCACAATGTCAAAACACGACCCCTAAGTATTTGAGTTTTGACTGCATCTTATACCCAGATGATGGGGTAAACAGAGCATACAGATGTCCAGAAGGCAGGAACCAGGAGGCCGTGACGGCCACGCAGTCACAAGCCTCCAAAGAAAGCATGCCAGGTGGGATTGCATCTGAGTTCCCTAGACTCAAATCCCAAGGGAGCCTGGCACCCGGTAGGCAATGACACCATGTAAAAGTGGAACTTAACTCGGAAGTTGAAATGGACCTTGGCTGGAGAGGTCCATGGACTGGAGGGTCGGGGGAGGCGTGGCAGTTCAAGATGACTTGAAGAAGTTAGCTAGGCAGAAATGCAATGGCTGTGCCAGAAACCAGTGCAGGAAGACGCAAGAAGAGCCAGGGGCAGGCTTCAGAGAGCCTCAGAGCTAAGCTAAAGAGCTTGGACTTTTAACCTGTTGGCAATGGGGAACCACTGAAGGTTTGTTTGACCTGTTGGACGGGGGCCAAAGAATGCCTGAGAAAAATGCCCCCAAGAGAGGTGTCTGAGGGGCCCTGGGGCAGAGCAGAGAGTGCCTAGAGGCCAAGAGGCCAGTTAGGAAACTCTGCAGGAGCTCAGGGCCTGGACAGAAACAGGGGCTGCCAGGGGTAAAAGAAGGACTAAGACGCAACGGCTGGAGAAGTGATGGGAACTGGTGAGCCGCTCACTGGGGAAGGAGAGGAGAGAAGAGGACAGACCAAATCCTGAATCAAAGATGATGCAAATGATGCTGGAAGAAGAGTGGAGGGCTGGGGAGCCCTGGGGAGAAGCAGGTGGCACATGTCAGCTGGCAGGGAAATCTGCCAGGAAAGCTCTTCGGGAAGAGAGGCAGGAGGATCTCTTGACTTTCACGCTGCTTTTCTCAAGTGCAAGTTTCCTCTGTCCTCTCGAGTGTACAGAGGCCATTTGCTTTGGGCTAAGAGAGGTCGCTGCGTGTGTCACTGGACAGTGATATGGGGCACACGAAAATGCCCCCTCAGCAGCCATCCCCACACCCCCGGAGTTAGAGCACTTCTGAGGGGACCTGAGCCAGGCAGCTCCCACCTGCCATTCATCTTTTTTGTTGGCTCTCCGTGCAGGTCAGACTAAGGACTCCCCTGCTGTCCTCCTCCTGACCTGCTGAGAATCCACTCAGCTGTCCATCACCCATTTACCTTTTCTCATATACCATGTAGAGCCCCACATACAAAAGCCACCCTTACACACTTGAAGACTCCTATAGACAAAAGTCTGTGATTGCTCACAGGGGGATCTGCAATCCCCCACCTGCACGGCTACCATCCTCACACTCCCGTCTCAGGATGGTTTGCATCGACTTGCAAAGTTTGAACTTGTTGCTCTGTGGACATTGCTCTTGAGGGCTTCAGAATATTTTTCTCTCCTCTTCATCTATACCTTTCTGTGGCCAATTTGTGTCACTGCTCAGCTAGTTTCCAAATACGGTCCTTTGTTGTACTCATACACCCCACTGCCATCATTCCCCTGCATAGAGAGTGATTATTTGGCCTAAAGGTCATCCTTCTGTGGCCCAAAGTGAACCCCAATCTCACGAGTCCATGCAGCATCTTTTATGTGTGTTAGCTTCCCCCCCGGGCCCTGGTCTTTCCTCAATGCACTGGTTGCTGCTTTCCCTGGGGCCTGCCCATCACACTTGGCAGGCAGGACATCATGGCAAGACTTCCCCCCTGTCAGTCTGTCCCACAAGACCAGGTGTGCCCTGCAGGATACACTCCATCTTCCTCAACGGCTAGACCCTCTCTTTCGGAATCAAGTGTTTTTCTCCACCTGCTGGCTGATGAGAAGGAAAGGACACTCTGTAGTACTTTTTGAAGTCTCTTCCACTCATCAGAAAGCCCTAGCCAAATATCTGCGTAGGCTTATGACCTCACCCTATCAGACTACGTGGTCCTTCCTCAGGCGTCAGGACCATCCTCTGGCACCTGCCATCCTGGAAACCCTGTCCCTCCAAACAGACACCTGCCACCCCATCCAAGTCTCCCCCAGGGTGGGTGACATCCTCAATGGGACTTCCCGGCCTTACGTACCTGCGTGTGTCTGCTGTCTTACATGTGTGATTCCCCAGCCAGGGCATCCGTGCCTGGTCACCGTGATTTTAATACAGGGGTTATCTGAGAGGAGAGGCAGATCGGGGGACAGATGAAACCCCAAATCAAAGATGATGTGAATGTCGCTGGGAGAGGAGTGGAGGGCTGGGGAACCCTGGAGAGAAGCGGGTGGGGCTTGGGGTACACGGGGCTGTGGCCTACACCTCCAGGGCTAGAAATCAGAAGCTGGAAGCAGGGTGTAGAAAAAAAAAGCAGAAAGCAGCCTAAAAGTCTCACTCTTCCTAGATGTGCTTCTGGGGCCAGCAGCACCATAGAGTCTTTAAACTTGCTGGAAACACAGTGTCTCCGACAGCGACCCACTGAATCAGAACATGGCATGTTCCATCCAGGCTCCTGAGACAACTTCCCAGGCGTTTCCACACTGCCTTAACTGAGCCTCTGCAGGCCCCCTGCCCACACTGCTGGACTGGTTGTTGACATCCCTATTTCTGGTTCCTTCCACCGGGGCCCCTGGTGCTCTGGCCCTGGGCCTCTGACACCCAACACCCCATCAGAGAACACCCAGTGCTGGAGCCTCCCCACCCCCAGCTCAGGTAGGCTCTGCTGGGGTCTCCAGACCAAGAAACACTCAGCTGAAGCCCCTGCGGCAGAAGCCACACTGGGTCTCACCATCCACTTAGGGTCACTGCCGTACACAATGTTTCCTGGTCCCCCTCAGGGTGACGTGTGAGGATTTCAGACTCCTGGGTCCCTTGCTCAGTGAGCTTCCTGTGCTTCCCTTGAAAAGCACTGTGCTGTGAATCTGAGGCTTATTGACAGATGTGTCCAAATCTGTTCTCCAGTCCTGCATGCGCCCTTCACAGTCTGGACGTGGGTAACTGTGCACTCCTGACAGGTCCCGGATAGCCTCCTCTGAGGCGGGCGGGAAGGCCATGAGACCCAGGTAGACAAGGAAGAACTGCAGGGTGAGAAAGTCACTGGCCACCCACAGAGACTAGTGTTGGGCTCCAGGACAGATGGTCTAGGCTCAGAGGGAGCATTCTCTCCCATGGAGAAAAGGGTTGGAATTCATATAAACTCTCCAAGCCCACATGTCCCCGGGCATGGAGCGAGGATGCTGAACTTTTTGATCTCCAAGGGCCGGTCCAGAGTGAACGCCTGTGCCAGGAGCTTCGAAGTATCAACCTTGTGTGGAGCATTTTGTCCTTGAGTCCAGCCTTTCAGGTTGGAGCTTCCCAGGCTCTAGCACCTCCTCCAGAGGATGACTTTTACTACCTTCGAAAAAAGATACATCAAACTCTGACAAATGATGTAGGCTCAGAGGCAAGCGGCATCTCAAGGCAGTGGTGCTGTGACAATTAGACAGACACTTGCAAGCAAATATAATGAAATACCCCACAGAATGGCTGCTTCAGGGACAGGGTTCGGGGAGACTCACTGCACATGAGGTCACTGGGGGGCTTGCAGTGCTGCGATACCTGCCGTGCTTGGGGGAAGGCCAGGGGCGTCT